GCCCCTCTCCTGCCCTGCGGCTCCCCGCTGCTCACCGCTTCGCCTGGCCTCGGCCGCCCGCCCTGCGCTTGTGCCCCTTCCCCTGGATATAACTCGCCCTGGCACCGCGAGAGGGGTGACCTTAAGCTCGGAAATAAATGCTGCCCTGCTGCTGCCGTTCCTCTGAATTGTCCTGTTTCACCTGTGTACCGTTTTCCTCATTTTTTCCATTCCAGAGCCACTCAGTACACATGCATGTTGCTTAGCTATTTAATAGAGCATAAGGCTGGTAAAGAGAAGCTGGTAATGAAACTCAAGCAGTTGGAATCTAACATGAGTTCTGGCCGGAAAAGTAAGTACCTGGTGTCTAGAGGGATAAGTCCTTCTTCACTTGCTCCTTCCAGCAAAACAGCTCCTGGCCTTGCGTTTTCTGTAGTTATATTGAGCCATAAAACGTCTTAGTACATTCACAAAATTGTCACTAGACCTTATCCCTGCCTTGGCTTGCCAGGCTAGATAGGGCCAAATAGACATTTATTACTTCCTCGGCCTCCTTTCTGATCAGGGAATCTGAATGATCACTGGCACAACTAGAGAAATAAATTAACAGTCAGCTGTAGCAGCAGAGATCAAGTTGTCATCTCAGTTCAGGGACAGACCACAGTCATGGTGCAAGGCTGGCTTACTGTGCTCTCGTTAGTCCTTACAGGTAATGGGTTGAGACAGCCTAACTTTAAAGACCATCATCCCAGTAAAAACACCTCTGGAGGACCATCCTTCAAAAGGACTTTATATATCCTAGTTTGCATATTAATTTTCTTTAGCATTTATAATAATAAATATATATATTTTTAAAACTCTAATAAATCATATACCCTTCCATACTTTTCTCATAGTCAAACCATTTACATCACTTCATGCTGTGTCACAGTTGCATCCACTATGGTTACACCGTTGCGGTGATTGTATTGCTTGCTTTTGGGTTGAACTTACGCCTGCTTATCAATTACTCAATCCTGGAACAACTTCAATATATGAGGCAAATATTCTAATTTAATATGTTACTATGGATTTGTTTTATTATTCCAGTTAGCTCCAGAGTACGGTAACTTCAAGCAGAGAAGCCAGCTGGTTTATCAGCATAGCCATAATTCTCTTGCTTCTGCTAAAAAAAATTGCTAATAGATGTCAGGCTTAAATGCAGGACTCTTGCAGTTCCAGTAAGAGTGGGTACTGCCAACACCTGTCACTGTGACAATGCAGCAGGTTATGAAAAGTATTTTACATAATACTGTATTAACATTCATGGGGCAAAACCTAATCTGTGCAGCAGATGCAATCAGGCTTGCCGTATGTTATTAGCTTGAAATGGAGTAAACTGTTCCTGTTTGCAGTGAACTGCATGTACCTCTGACAAACTCACTGCTGAGGAGGGACTTTAGGATCTCAGTGTGCTCAGCACGTGAATCACCAGAAAACTTAGAAAAGTTGTAGCTCATGGTTGCTACAGGGTAGTGCAGTAACATCTCCTGTCCAGAATTATCTGAAATCCTATGAAGTGTACAGCTGAAGATGGAGGCTCTGTTTGTGTCCCTTTTTTGCTGACACTGACGTTCAGAGCAGTTGGTGATACTGGTCCAGAGGGCACCCAGGTGCTGAGAAAGGAGCAGCAGGAGAAGGCTGCGAGTCCTGGCTATTGACAAAATCTGTGTCTGTGTCCTGGGCTGTTGCAGGACAGCACTGAGATGCTTACACCCCTTTCCTTGCTAATACTAGCTTCTCACGCTATGCGAAGAAAATGCTTAAGCATACAAATGCCCGAAAGCCTGCTAAGTTTAATAAATGTGAACAGTGAGATGTCGCGTTGTCCTGCATAGGGCTGTGTCTCTGTGGTAAAGGCCAGGCCATGCTAACCTTTGTGGGGTTTCTTGCAGTGTTCAGACTGGGCAACATGGTACATGCTTTGGTAGCAGCCAAGAGGACTACACAGCTGCCAGATGTGGTTCCTCGCTTCTGCCTTACAGCCTCCAACCTGACCCGTGCCCTCTACTTCATCTGCGATGCGGTCCTGTGGTTGAAGAGCACTGGGCTCCAACCTGACATCGATAAGATGAAGTGGCAGAACAGGGCTACCAAGTGTTACTACCTTTCACTCCTGATAAATCTAGCCAGGGACTGGTATGAGATCTCCTGGAGGCTGGAACAAGCTATACGGAAAGAAAACACAAAGGAGAATTCCTTCTGGGACAAACACAGTCAGGAACTACACCATGTGAAATGTGATGGTTTGCGCAGTTATCTCCTGCTGTTTCAGATACTGAAAAGAAATCCTCCTTTGCTGCTGGACTTGGTGAAGAATCTGTGTGATCTCTCAGGTCCTTTGGATACACTTGGCATCTACAAGACCAACCCAGGAGTGATTGGCTTATGTGGCATCCTCTCCTCCCTGGTGGGGATCTTCACATTAGCAAACCCATGTCTGAAGCTGAAACAGTAACACAAAAGGAGCTGCACAGTATACAGTGAGCCAACAGCTTTGATCCTCTGATAGATTTTTATCCTCCATATGGCACTTTCGAAATGAACATGTCTCACAGTAACCTCAAGATTAATTTTGTTCTCTAAATAAGTGAATTCTACCCTTTTTCCTTCCCTGTGTCTTTGCAGATGAGTTTGGTGCCATGACACACTCACTGATGGAGTCAACATGGGAGAAGACAGAGTAATATTTCACAAACAGAAACAGGACTGGGAACGTGGCTGCTAGACAAGGAAATATTGATGTTCCTATGTTTTAATACAGGGCTGTGAAACAGCTGCACAAACAACTGTAATAGGTATACTAATAACTAATCGTGTCTACACTGGAAGGCTGGAATTCACCAATCAAACGTTCCTACAGTCAGAATTTCTGTAGTGGGCTCAGGCAAGTTAGGAGCTGCAGTTTAAATGGCCTGACGTCAAGTGCCATCGAGTTCTGATGAGTTTGGGTTGGTGGATCCTGTTATCTGTAGGCAGCGGTGTGAATGCAGTGCGATGGTAGCTGAAGAGTGGTATGATCTGACCTTCTGATGATCTCTGTAAGGCGTACCGGTGACGCTGCACCTGTAGTCTAGTAAGTGCCAATTTGTGTCCCAGGAAATCAGCACTTTCTTCTTTTCCTTTGATAATGTGAGCCAGGGACCACTGGCCATGAACTCTGGCTTCTCAAGCAGGCCATGGCTGAGGGTTTTGGTGAAGGACAGCATGTGGGAGAAGCTTGTTTGAGTGTTGCTGATGCTGTGATTTGTAGGGAACTGGGTTTCCAAAGCTGTGAATCTGAAATCACTCACAAGCACTACATTTCCCATTACATGCACACCTTAACTCCCAAACCCCTGTGATTCCAAGTGCAAGAACTTTCCATTAATCATACTGTGATAAGGAGCTTGTGTTGCTGTTTTAATTTTACATGAAAAATTCCAATTTAATAAGGAGGTTTGCAACCAGCAGTTAAGGAGAGAAGCCTGGCTCAGAGCTCATTGAGTCAGAAAAACTGCAAGGGTGTGTTTCTAGTTGTGTAAGCTCCTGGAGGGAAGGGAATGGAGTTAGTCGTGATAATATCAGAATCCCCTGTGAGAAGAAAATCTTATTACTGGATTTGGGCATTCATGGGTTAGATTTTCCTATCGGGTCCTCCCTATTCTCTCCTGTCATGACCATAAGCTTTCTTGTGTGTTTCCTCCCTGGTTGAATGGGTTCTACCATTTGAAAACGCCTTACATTTGCCCTGCAACTGCATTATTGTTCATCACTTACCTCACTGGGAATAATTGCCCAGCAGTGTAATCTAGGTTAAAGGAGAAATGCTGTGTCCAGCTGTTTAACATGACATGCAGTCTTTGTTGTTCCTGACTTTGCAGAGTACCAGTTCTGACACCACCTGAGAAGAATTTGCACATTATATAGGAGATAAAATTATCATTTTTCTTCATCAGAGTTAGGCCTGTGTGTTCTGCTACTTTCTGGTGCAAGGAATAGTTGTTTAATATGTCAGGAGATGTGAACAGAGAGTACTCTAACCTGGACCAAGGTACTCTCTTATTATTTCTGACACTGTCTGAAAACAGAAATTAAAAGGTGTTGGTCTCCTTTATTAAAAAGTGAAGGCTGTGGAATTGAGTAGGCACGGTAAGGCAGTGTCCCAGTTTACCTTAAGTCATTGTGGTCAAGCTTGGAATTACTTCCAGTTTGAAGTGTTCGCCTGCCAATGAGGTGTTTGAAAAAAGGTTGCTGGGCAGGATAATTAAGTGTGCTTGAAGACTGAATGTGGCCTGCAGCAGTTCTTCTTTTTAATATGGAAATGAATACCATTAAAAGAACTGGCAGTTCAGACCATAATGAAGCATTACATATGGGATATGTTGTCTTCAAGGGCTTTCTCTCCCTCTTAACAATGGAATTTTTTTTTTGTTTCTTTACTCCATTAGCCTTTGAGCTTCTGGCAATGTGGAGCCCATCCCTCCCTCGGTCAGATTTGATCATTATCCCAGTGTGTAGCAACCCCTGTAAGGAATGAAGAGGAGTCTTGATGATCTGGCAGCAGAGGTTTGGCCACCTTCTGCCTACAGAATTTCATCTTCTTGCAGAAAAATGCGTTTTGAATTCCTCTTAGGGGAGCTCTTGGATAGAAAATACTTCTTTCACTCATTTGTGAATTGGTTTCTCTTTTTGTACTTCACAGGTAAAGGGAGATGGATTAATATGGTGATATAGCCACTAGCCAGCTACACCTCCCTGTGCCCTGCGGAGGGAAAAGGGTGGTTTTTTCCCTTGTGCCAGGCAAACACTGTGCAAAGCCACGAGCCAGGCTTTGATGTTTCTCCTGTAGGGATTGACGTGGATTAGAAAGTACAGAGTTAATGTGGGAGATGGGGCAATGAATTTTCAGCCTGTCTCAGCCTTACCTGTGCCATTCTGAATCATGTGAGTTGGAACATAGAGGAGTAACTCTCTTTCCTGGGTGTTAAGCACTAATACTTTGGAGGCTGGCAATTTAAGGTACCTCAATATAACGTGACTGAAGCCATAGAATCATAATCATACAGAGAAAAACTTTTTAGTGCTTTTTTTTATATCTGTTTCTAATACAGCAGTTGGAATAAGGACAGCTGTTTGAAAACAATAAACTGAGATGAGAGTGACACTGTGTCCACGTGTGTAACTTAGAAGGTGGTGTAAAGAGATGCTGAAGGAGAGAATCCTCCCTCCCATCTCTGAATTTTTCAAAGGCATGATACTGTTAAAAAGACATTGCCTATAGTTGCACCTCGGTTATAGAGCTGTCTTTTTGCACTAGCAAGGAGGCAGCCAGATTCATCAGACTAATTTACAGTCCCCATTTCAGTTGCAAACACATGAAAAAGTAACCATGTGAGTAGCAGGTAAAACTACTTACATGAAATGCCCTGAAACAAAGAGATATTTTGAGAATTGCTATCTGTTGCCCTTGGGTACCAGTGGAGAAAGCTGGAGCCTTCTGCCCAGCATGGGCACAGCTACGGTGAAAGGAATGGGTGCACCTGTATTTTAGTGTCTCATAAACGGCCTTTCATTTGGATGGGTCTTAGTGTCGTAGGGCAAATCACTGCAGCTGTTCAACAACAAATGCCTGTTTGGGGCAGGGAGTGAAGGGTAACATCTCCAGCTGAGATAGGGAGGGATGGAGCCAGAAAAACTATTAAAACCGAGCTTACTGTTAGTTCCTATCCCCTGCAGTAAGAGCCTTGTGAACTTGGAAGCTCTAAAATGTCAGTTCCTGCACAATGTATAAAGCATTGCATTCAGCAGTGTTTCAGCAAGAGTTTCCTTCTGAATTACTGGTCTCGTACACATTTTGCAATGGAAACAGTTATCAGGAGAGTTGTCTATGTGAGATGTGCAAAATAATCTTCTATTTACTTACAGACAAGGCCTTCCTAATGTTAATGCTGTGCTTGGCATGGTATTTCAAGAAATAGGTGAGCCGTTCAGGATTCCCAGGTGAGCAGCAAGAACGATCAAAGGTCTAAAAATCAAGATCTCCAGGGAGGAACCAAATGAACTGGTTCTGTAGAGGAAAGGTGACTGGGAGGGGGTGTGAGAAGTCTTCAAGTGTCTAAAAGGTTGCCTGCCAAGAGGAAGGCAATAAATCGGTCTCTAAATCCAGGCGGTAATACATTTATATTGCAGCAAAGGAGAATTAAATCGCACTTTTTCTGAACTGTAAGTAAAATAAAAGACTAAATGGATGGCCCAGGAAGGCAGTCCTTAAAAAGAAACTGGACAGACATCTGCCAGTAGTGGTTTAGAGGGTAATGATCCTGCCATAGGGCATGGAAATGAATTAGTTCCCTCTTCAGCCCCCTCCTAGACCTAAGTGTAAAGATGCCTAATAGGTCTTTGGGGATCTGGCTCATCCCTCACCATGGTCTACTAATGGGTATGGAGCAGACTGTGGAGACAAGGGTGTGAAACTGCTTCCCTGCACCCAGCTGATCCCGTGAGCTCTAAATATTGCCTGCAGAAACGCAAAGTATTTCTGGTGTGGGGTGAATCCATGGAGGGGGGTGGCATTGGTGCCCTTGCACTGTAGAGCCCGGGACTGGCACAGCCTTTGTCCCAGAGGAAGGGGAGGGGAAGAGCGAAGGTGTTAGTAGCACAAAGGCTGTGTTGTCTGTTGATCCGGACTCCAGCCAAGGCAGAGAGAAGGTTGGCATGTCCCCTGCACTTTTAGCAAGGCTAGCACGGCTGCAAAAAGTCTCAGTGCCAAGAGAGCAAACTTTAGAGCAGGCTGCTGCCCTTTGTCCCGCTGTCTGGAGAGCAGCGACTCACCCCGCCACCGAGCTGGAGGCAGCCCAGCACATTCATGTGCCTCTACACCCAGCTAGCCGGGCAGGCCTGCGAGCTCTGCAGAGCCCCTCGCTGGAAGCAAACTCCAGGCTCTTTGGGAGGTATTTTCCTCCCACTCGTGGCTTTCCCACGTCCCTGGGAAGCCTCCCACCCCCACGTACGAGCAGCGCAGGCAGGAGCAGGGAGCCACGAAGCTATGTTGGGTGCACACCTCTGTGTCCTGCACAGGGGTGCTGGGCAGCTGTGGGTGTTTAAGGACTTGGCTCTGTTGCTTGGGCCTCCACGGATGCTGAGCCGCATGCCAGGGGTCTCTCCAACTCGTGCTGGGCAGCCCAGGACACACAGCATCCTTGTGTCAGCAGCCTGCCTGCATCGCTCACCTGCACTCACCCCCTTGGTCATTGCTTTGTCCTCTCTGCACCATGTTGTCCTCGTCTCATCGGTGTGGCTCACCCTTGGTCTCCACAGTCTATAACCAAAACCTATCATAGCTCCATACAGGTGGTGTTTTCTTTCTTTTCAATCAATAGCACAAACGGATTTTTTGTGATGTGAGTCTGCAGAGTGCCTCCCGCACAACAAGGCAGGTTGGCCACGAAAGAGCAGCAGTAGTGAGAGCGCTGCCAGCAGGTCAAGGGGAGCAGTTGTTCCTCTCTGTGAGGCCACATTTGGGGAATCATGTGCTATTTGGCCCCACCAGCACAGAAGAGATCTTGACTAGAGTCCAGCAGAGGATCATTGAGAAGGTAAGACATTTCGGGGCATGGAGCACATGCTGTACCAGCACAGGCTGGAGCACAAGCTCTGCTCAAAGGTGCACAGAACAAGGATAAGAAATGGCAGGCATCAAACTGCAGCAGAGAAAATTTCAGCTGGACGTAAGGAAAAAATAGTTTACTGTGACTATGGTTAGCACAGGAACTGGGTCCCAGAGAGATGGGAATCTTATCCTTGGAGATTTTCAAGACTGAACAAGACCTTGAGCAGCCTGATCGAGCTTTGAGGGTAGCCCTACTCTGAGCAACAGTTGGACAAGGGGACCTCCAGAGATCGCTCCTAACCTGATTTTTTCTCCATTTCTGTCTACTCCAAATGCCTAGAGCTTTCCTAATGCAGTTTCTGCTCTGACCCTCAGCTAAAAGCCTCCTCACCAAAGCCCTCCATGAATTCTCTTAGAAACTGCAGACTTACTAAGCCAGATTGGTTTATGCAGTCTGTGTCCCCCTTGTCTGCCTTCTGCTCCTTATGCTTTGTAAACTTCCCTGGGGAGAAATGATGTTCTTTGTCTGCATTGCATTTCCCAACAGGATAGGATCCTGGTCCTCCACAGGTCATAACAGGGGCTACAGAAATGCAGGAAGGTTTTAATCTCTTAGGAAACCCTGCCCAACTCTTTACCTTCTCCCTGGCTGCTCATGATCTGTGGCTTTTGCGATGGCAAGGTCCAAGGGCAGCTTCTTTTCATCTTCTCTTGATGGAGTGGCATTAAACCTCGGTACATCCCGGCTATGCCGCAGCTTCTGGGCTCTGCAGGAAGACAAAGGAGGGGATTTTCTGCCGTCATCTGTTCCAAATTACGGTGGCTTTAGGGAGCTCTTTGGCCAGTTTCCACCGCAACCCGCCAGCTCCCAAACCCGCGCAACTGGGAGGTGGGGCCTCGTGGTGGTAGTGGCCAGGGCACGGTGCATCACTCTCAGAGTACTCGGGTGAAGGGACAGTGCAGCCACCACCCTCTGCTCCTGCTCTACTGGGACGGGCTGCCCCTCGGTGAGTAGCCTGTCCCCACCAGCTGCTCTGGGGACAGCTTCATTGGGACCAGGGGGGTGAGAGCAGGGATCACTCCCTCCCCCTAAATTTCCTGAATTTCATCTGCTGCTGAGAACAGGGGATCCATGCCCAGGGGGGAGCTGGAGGTGTGTTTTTAGGTGTCACCCAGACAGAGGCAGTGGAGATGGGTGTTTTGTGGTGCTTTTGCCCCCATATCAAGCTGGGGCTGCACAGGGACAAGCGCTGGCATTGTGAGCAGGAGGGAGGGGGATGCTGACCACGGCAGGGCAACTCGCTGCATCCCTACCCACAGCTCCTTTCTCTGCTCCTGTCCTGCCTTCTTACCCCTTCTCAGCCTGCACCTCTCAGCTTGGCCCTTGTGCAACATCCTGGTTGCTCTGATTTTGCTTTACAGTTCTGCCAGTGCCCTTTATCCAGCTTTGTACTGTATCTCTTCTAAACTAGATGCCTCTCAACTAATTTTTTTTCCATTTTGGGGTGTTAAGACACACTAGCAGGGGAGAGCTGTGTGGAGTCATTGGTTTTACAGCTTAACTGGTAAAAAAGTCAAGTGTTAGGCAATGCCTCATCCATTACGCCCATGGGAGGTGTGTGTCTCAGTCTAGCTCCGGGCCCTGCTATGCTTGGGGGGGTGCAGGAGTGAGTGGAGAGAGCCCAAACCCAGCCCTGCCTTCACAGCGGGGTCTGCAGCTCCCAAATTTGCTTTGCAGGTGGATGCGTCACAATGACAGCGAAGAAGAATCAGGCTCTGCAGAATGGAAGTGCCAAGGTGGGTGTGGGAAGAGGGAGAGGGGTGGGCAGAGGTGTGCCAGGGGCACCTGGTAGCACGTACTGACTCTGCCAGATGAATATGAGTCACATTTCACGCTGTCCCACATGTCCCCCTGTTATCTTTATGATGAATCTTTGCCTGCAATAATATAGGGAAAAGGATCATCATCAAAGGAAAAGGACAAAACCTTTTGCTTGTTTGAAATTAAATAGTTCAGAATCAATAAAGTGAACCCCGAGCTGACACAAGCCCTCAGTGACACCTGCCAGCAGTGCCTGTCCTTCACCTCTGTCCCACGGTGAACCCCAAACCTCCAGCAGTCGTGCTGCTGTGGATGCAGTGCTGCTCTGAACAGCTGGACCCACCTCGGGCTTTGTTAGAGGGCTGGCTCCGTGTCAAGCCAAAATTAGCACAATATAGTGTAATACGATGTAGTTTTTCTCAAACCTGCAGACTCACAGCCCAGTCATGGTCACAAGTAGGACATGAAGCCAACCTTGGCCTCTTGCCTGCTGGTGACCAGGCGAACGCTCAGCTTTTTCTTCTGCTCTGTCCCATGCAGCCCAGAGAGCTCTTGCCTCATGGCTGCTGTGGTGAGTCAGTGTTCCTCCCTTGAGGCTGCCGTGTCTCTTGGCTGTCTCACCTCACCATGTGGGCACTGGGTGACAGCAGAAGCAGAGGGTTGGAGCTTCACATTTATCCTGCTCGCTCAGCTTTGAGGGACTTACCTCCAGCTGTGCTCTGGCACTGGCAGCACACACAGGTGTTGGCTGTACTGGTTTATACTGGCATCCCATATCGCCCATGCTAGCGGAGTGTGGGGATGTGGTGCCCTGCTGCCTCAGAGAGTTCTGGTGCTCTCTTCTTACAGCAGTGGCTCCTACCAAATGTCCTCCTTGTCTGCCCTCAGGGACAGACCCGTTCCTCTCCCCTTCTCCTTTCCAGGATCTGTATCCTTTACTTGTCATAGTGGTGACAAGACAGGCAGGACAGAGGTGCCACATAGGCACTGGTCTTTACTGGTCCAAGGACAGGAGCAAGGGCTGGGTCAGACGGAAGAAGCAGCAGAGCTGGGTGGAGGATCAGAGGGCGCAGCCAGGGAGTCGGGCTTGGGAGATGGAGTGGGCATCATCACCCCTCCGACAGTGCCTGTGGTGTCCCCGCTCCTTCCGCGGCAGCAGCCAGCCCGCTTGTCCGTGGCCATGCCGTACACAGTGTAGCTGGGAGACCCTCGATGGGGTTCAAGAAATGCCCTCCTCCTCCAGCACGAGCTGAGGTCCTCTGTGGTCACTGCAACACACTGAATGCCACCGGGGTGCGGACCAAAGGGCGTTCCTCGGGGAAGGGCTGTTAGCTAACCGACGCTCATCCCGCACGCAGGAGAACGTGCTGCAGAGGGTTCTGCAGCTGCCGGTGGTGAGCTCGACCTGCGAAAGCATCCAGCGCACCTACGCCAGCACCAAGGAGGCCCACCCGCTCATGGCCTCGGTGTGTGAGGTCTACGAGCGGGGCGTGCAGGGTGCCAGTGCCTTGGCCATATGGAGTGTGGAGCCCGTGGTGCGCAGGCTGGAGCCTCAGTGTGAGTCCATCCGCCGGGGGGGACACGGCAGTGGGGAGCCCGCCAGAGCCACCCTTGGTGGGACAGCGCTGGCACTAGCACATGCCTAGCACAAGCTGGGAGCTTTTCTTACCAACCCACCCCATGCTTTTGACCAAGGCAGTTGCTGTGGCTAACAACCTGGCTTGCCGGGGCTTGGACCACCTGGAGGAGAAGATCCCTGCCCTCCAGTACCCTGTTGACAAGGTAAGTCACAGGCAGGATAGTCTAGGACCCCCCAGCCCCTCTGCAGAGCCCACAGCACATCTCCTCTGGTCTTGTTTCTGGACGGTGATGGGCTACTGGGGGAGAAACAAGACAGCACCTTCAAGCAACAGCTCCTCCAGGGGCTCCTGCAGCCCAGGGGATAGTTGGGGCGCTCCCAAATATAGGTCAACAGTGTCCTGTGTCCCATCCCTGCCAGCTACCTCCAGCCCAGGCTAGAGAGAGCTGTTATGCCCTCCTTGGGGCTGGTTACCAGCATGGCCATGGGTGGGATCTCCAAGCACACCAGCAGGGCTGTTCTCCATCTCTCTGCCTGCAGCTTGCATCTGAACTGAAGGGCACCATCTCCTCCCCGCTCCAAAGTGCCAAAAGCACCATTGGCAACTCCGTGGATAAGATCATGGAACTGGCAGCGGAGGGCTTTGAGGCCACCAAGAGCACGGTGGAAACGACAGCAAGGTACACAAGGAAGAACTCGGTGAGCCAGATGGCAGCCGCAGGAGTCGACACAGCCCTGGGAGGGCTGGAGAAGCTGATGGAGTACCTGCTGCCAGAGGAGGATGAAGAAGCAGGTAGCCTGATGTCCAGATCCCCTCTGAGGGTATCTGGTGAGGGCTGGTTGTATGTGGGGTAGCACCTCACTTGTGGGGTGCACGTGGCAGGAGGAAGCCCCTGGATTTGGGTGTAGGGCTGCCTAGGAGGGTTGTCCCACCAGGAGGTAAATCTCCCCCCCCCGGTTCTGCCTGTGCTCTTCTGCCTTTAGATCAGAAGTCCAAAGAGACATGCAGGTCAGCAGCAAAGGTGTCCCAGCAGCAGCCCAGCGCTCCCAGCACTACCAGTGCTCCCAGCACCCTGGGCCGGATCAGTGCCTTGGTTAGCACCGTCTCCCACCGCGCTTATCAGCAAACCAGCCAAAGCCTCCACCGTGCCAAAGTCAAAGGGCAGGAGCTGGCCACCTGGATCCCCATCCTGGTGAGTGCTAAAACCCACCCGCCAGGTTCCTGCTCCCCCATTCCCTCTTTTGGGCTGATTCTGCTTTTAGACGAAACATTTCAGGCTTCTTGGAGCACGTCCAAGAGCAAAGTGGTGGGTGCTGCTCTTTCCCCCGCTCAGCAGGATGACCTAGGGCCAGCAGTTCCTGCATGTTCACACACAACCTTGTACCATGTCGGTGGGACAAGTTATTTTTAGCCAGCTCCCAATGTATATTGTTGATTTATGGCCTTGCCATAACATCCTTCCTAAAGCACAAAGCCCCCGCAGAGGCCCAGAGAGGATGGGGAGAAGGAGGCACCTCTGCTCTCCCACCCAGCACTGCAGTGGGAACCCCTTCCCCGGCCTGTGCCAAAATCCCGGAGCTCCCAGCTGCCCTTTGGATTTCTTCCCATGTGCATAAATGAGCCCCTCTGCTCCCTGCTCACCCAGGGCCCCTCTGAGATCCTCAGGCTAAGCAGGATGGGGTGGATGGGACCTGCCAGCTCCCTCCAAGTGGTGGCTTTTCACTCCTCTTCCAGGGCAGCCTGGCCAAGCCGAGTGCACCTGAGGTGCCGCGGGTCCACGGTGATGGGCAGAGCACCACGGCTGGCTGGCTGAGCCGGCGGCAGAGCAAAGTGCCGGAGCAGAAGCAGGAGAAGGCGGGGAAGAAAGACAGCAACCACACCAAGGAGGTATGGCGAAAAGGGGGACATTGAGCTGGGGGTGCCCCAAAGCATCCTCCTGTCCATGGGCTGCACCAGCATGGGGGGATGTTCCCCCCATACCCTTGAGACCAGCCCTACATCCCTGCTGAACCCTCAGCTGCAGCTTGGAGGAGGCGAGGGGCTGACAGGGGTCAGTCCCAGCAGCCCCCTTCCCTGACTCCCCAAAGCTGGGGGCTGTGGGCAGCCTCTGTGTCAGGCGAGGTCACCCAGGCTTGTGTATTCAAAACTCCTTTGCTGTTGCGGGGTGTCAGCACCGAGCTGCCTATCAAGCCCCTGAACACCCCTGAAAAATCCCCGCCACGCTCCCAGCAGCAAGGGGTGGTGTGAACGGCCAGGGCTGGGAACAGTCCCCGGCGGCGGCTCACTGGGACACGGGGACGGGAAGCGGCAGGTCGGGGTCACTGCCCTTTGCTTCTGCCTGCGGAAGCACAGCCTGGGGTAGAGGGTCCCCGGGGAGCTGGGAGTGGGACAGGGAACGACCCTGCTGCAAGGGGCCACGGTGGCTTTTGCAAAGCAGCAAGCCAAAAGCACTCCTGCTTTGAGCTGCAGAGGGGATGGGGAGCCCAGGGCCACCCTGTCCTGCCCAGAGGGGCCTGGGCCAGCAGCTGAGCTGGTTTCTCTCGGCAGGCGGGCGAAGACCCCGGGCTGGTGGGCAGCGTGGCTCACAACCTGCAAAGCGCCTGCGCCTCGGGCATCTCCAGTGTGAAGAAGGTCCCAGCCGTGGCCTGGGATGCGGCAGAGGGGTTGATCCTCTTCACTCCCCGCAGGCTGTCAAAGGCCATGGAGACAGTGGATGCTCTCGGGGGGACCCTCGTCAGTGCCCCCAAGCATCTGCTGGGCACCCTGTACAGCTACGTGCCGGTGAGTTTGTCCCCAGTTAGATGCCATCCATCTCCCATTTTGGCCAATCTCCTCCCGTGAGCACCCCATAGCTCTGGGCAGTGCCAGGTTACCAGGGCAGGGAGATGGTCAGGACACCTCAGAGCACCCTCCTCCTGAGCATCCCCCGAGCTGTGACAGCGAGTCCCCCCACAGACTCAGCAGATCAACCAGTGGTGGCACCTTCACACAGTTCTTGCCCAAGCCAGGGTGAGACCACAGATTCCTGGAAAGGTGAAAGTTCAGGCTGAGGCATGTCCCCTGTCCTTTCCCCCACCCCACTGCTCCCCTTGAGCCATCTCTCCCCTGCAGCTGCCTGGGGGCTGCAGCTGCTCACTCCCCTCTGCTGGAGACCCCTCTGGGGACATAATGGCTTGTCCTGTGGTCCCCCTAGTTTGGGGGAGGCTGTGTAGCACAGGGAGAGCAGGGCTGGCAGCAGGTACAGCCTGGCCAGATGCTCATCCCACCTCTCAGCTCCGCAGGCAGTCAGTGAAGGAAGAGGAGGCAGCCAAGGCAAGCAAGCCCAGCCCGGAGACGGAGCAAACAGAGGAGGATTCCAAGCCTGCCACTCCCTCCACTGAGGAGAAATCCCAGCTGAGGAACGACTGGCGGCTGTACCGGGGCCATCACCCCCTCTCCTTCCTGGGGCTCGAGGACCCCCTCTTCCTACGGCACAACCTCTACCGCAGCCCTGCCTTCGAGCCCGAGTGCCCCCTCCCACGGAAATCCGCTTTTGCCCCTTACAACAGGCGGGTGAGCGAGGGCTCCTACCGCTTCAGCCCTGAGGCCATGTACAGCCGGGTTTACTACAGCAACCTCTACGGTCCTACCTTCAAGAAGGACTGAGCCGGTGGGGAGAACAAGCACATCCCAGCCCCCTCTCTAATCCCCCCACAGCACGCTTTGCCCGGGCCCCTGCCAGCCACTCACATGCACCCGTGTACCCGGCCAGGAGCTCAAAATGGTAAACATGTCATGGGAGGTCTTCTGGAGTGCATCAGGGCCAGGGAGGGGAATAAAGGCAGCCAAAAGCCCTGTTGGTGGCAGGAGGTGGGACCAGAAAGGTTAAGATGACGTGGAAAGAATGAGACCAGGAAAGAGAAAAAGGGACCAGCCAGGCCTTGCACTGGGCTGCCCTGGCTCCCGCTGAGCAGATATTGTGGACTTAGATGGGCTACACATTGAGAACAGCTCTGAGACAGAGCAGGGAAGAGAGCAAAGCCATCAGACATCACCATAGTAAGCCTGGTTCCCCATCCTTCCCTCCTCCATCCCCCCCTTGCAGGGCCCATCCCTGGACACAGATTGCTCCTCCATGGAGGAGCTGAGGGCTCCCCACCGACCAGCAGGACTCACGAGTTGGAAAGCCCTGGGCACCCACTCCCTGCTGACGGTGGGACGGATGGTGGGGTCAGGAAGATCGGTGAGAACAGGTGGAGCTCCTGCAGCCCCTCTCCCACGGGACTGCCTGGCTTCCCGCAACACCTTGTTGTATCCACTGCAATAATAAACCTTCCCAATCTGCCACTCTCCCCGTCTGCTCGGCTGCTTTATGAGAGCAAGCCACCAACACGAGGGAGCAGAGTGGGGCCAGACACCCAGCCTGGAGCCAAGGGAGCGGGTATGGGAAACTCATCCCTGAACTGCTGCCGCAGGGCTCATGCCCAGCACAGTACGTGTGTTCTCCCATGCCTCAAGTACAAATTCACAGCCCGAAGGAGCTGGAGGCTTCCTGCCAAAGATGATTTATTGCATTTCCAGAAGAACACAGCAGAGAAATCACTGTCTCTACTGACACACAAACTCTCTTCAACATGCTGCTTTCCCAGGCGCACAAGGGGAAGGGTTTGGGGAGAGACAGAGAAAAAAATCTCCCGGCAGCAGGAGGGTTCAGCGATGAGCCCAGCAACCCCTTTCCCCACCTCTTTTCCTCCCCAGGGACATGCAGCCTTGTGGAAGGAGCAGCTTGGGAAGGCGCACAGTGCAATTCCCCATCCTGGGAATGTGCCACGTGCCTGGTTTTTCCCAGGCAGAGCCTGTATGCCTCTTGCACAAGGGAAACGGCTGCAATTGCTGTAAGGCTGTGGGAGAGAGGACCACGAGCAGGATGGTCCAAAAGCAAGGCAGGTGGGATGGGAGGCATCAGCCCTCACCGAGGTCCTCAGGGGCTGGCTGGTGCCACTGGCTCTGGACACTCTGACACAGTGATGCACACATGGGAACTGCTAGTGGCTCCCCGGTGGCAAAGCCCCCACCTTGACAGCTCATGGGTGCTCCAGGGTTACCCAAGAGGCCCCTGACAAGCATTAAACAGGAATGAGGATCCAGGGTTTGAGCGGGGGGGACAGGGAGCCAGGCAGACGTGCAGAAGCAGCATCTCCTCCCTGCCCACCAACAGCCTGGGCAGCTCCTGCTGAAGGAGCTGGGGATGCTGCTGCTTGAAGCTGTGGCAAAATCACCTGATGGTTTCCAGTGTTGGAGGATGAAGAGAGAAAGCAAGAGGCAGCTAAAAAGCTGGTACAGCAAAGGGTAAAGACTCTACCCCATCACAGAGTCAAGAGGAAGGCACTACAGTCCTCGGCTGCGCTGGCTGGGTACGGTAGGACACCCAGACCCCAACATGAGGAGAACACACGCCATCTCCACGGGCACCAAAGCAGGAGGCTTAATCCAGCCGGACAGCACAGAAAGAAGCAACACCCACACTGTAGCTCAGAGGGAGTCTGTTCGCTTACGGGCAAACACAGCTGACATGGTCTTGACGATGCCACGGATCCCCGTACCCTTCTTCAGTGCTAGTTTGGTGTCAGGGATGCGCTCAGCCAGTCCATGGAAGACCATGAGGGCCCCGTGATAAGCCTCGGCTGCAGAGACCTCGTAGAAACCACAGTCTAAAGAGAGGGCCAGGAGCCGACCCTCCTCGCTAGACACCTCCCGTTGGTGCTGCAGGTCCCGTTTGTTGCCCACAATGACAATGGGCACCTTCTCCTGGCTCTGTCCCTCCTTGGCTGCCTTGATGAACTGGATTTTGAGGGGCAGGATGTTGAAGCTGGCACGATCACAGATGCTGTAGACTAGGACAAAGCTGTCTGCCCACTGGATTCGCTTCTCCTCCGAGGAGCCCTCCTCTGCATGCTCCTGGGGAAAGGGAAAAGGAAAGGGTGTGTTATGTAGCTCCCTCCCCCCACACCAGTCTGCTAGCACAGGGTGCAGCAACCCTGAGCCCGTCGGGACAGGGACAGCTAGCAAGTAGCAAAAGGGCAGAAAGAGAAGCACTGAGGAAGGCAGCAGAGCAGCACCCGGCAGACCTCACCAAGGGGACATGATTTGGGCTTCAACATCACAGTGCCCACCTTATCACCCAGCTGGCAAGCACTGCAGGCTGTAGGTGACAAAAGCGTGGCGACCACAGAGCGGGGCTGCCACTTAGTTACCACAGTCCTGTGCTCTATGGGGGCTGGTAATATTCATGCTTGAGCTCTAACATCCCTGACTATTTCTACCCTGCCAGCAATGCTGCTGCCCTGTGCTCTGCAGGCCAGAAGGGTTCAGTTGCCTACAGACCATCGGACACGAGAGCTTTGCACAGCTGGAGCTCCCAGCCTGTGGTTCCCCACTGGTAGCTTTTAGTAGAGGTTTTATTGTCCCGTGGGTGAAAACAGGTGACAAGAGCAGAGCCCTCTCACCTGGGAATTGGGGACGTCCCAGATGTGGAAGAGAATCTCTCGGCCATCCACGGTCAGGTTGTGGCTGTAGATGAATTCTGCCAAAAAATAAAATCATCATCTTCACGGACCCAAGAGACAGCTCCTTCAACCCAGGTCTCCTCCTCCTGGGGACAAGCCTGTCACGTCCACCCTGGGAGACTGTGCTCCACAAGGCAAGGTCCAGGGGCTCTTTTCGTACAGCCACAAGCATATGGAGCACAGTGCCCTTCCAGCTGTGAGTGCCCCAGCCTGCCTCCACCCCAGCGTTCAGTCCAGGCAGGCTAGTGCCACCAGCTGCCACCCAGCACCTTCTGCACCCCAAAGAAGCAGTTCTGGAGCAAAGAGATGGGTCACTGAACAAATACAACCATCGAGACCCCAGGAGCAGGCAAAGGTTCTGGAGAAAGTCAGGAAAGGATGGGAAGCAATGAAATCCCATGGGCAGAAGCAGGCTCGCCTCCTGACCCCAGTCCCTAACGGGAACCCCCTGGCCCTGGCCTGGCACTCACCCATGTCTCCATACTCCCCAATAAAGCGCCGGGTCAGGAAACGCACAGTCAGAGCTGCAGAGGCAAGGATAAGAATCAGAATAACCCTAAACCTGCAGGATTTTCCTTTTAAATCCAGAGCAGAGTCAGGCACCATCCCTCTGTAAACTCCCACCAGCAGGAACGACCTCTGGCTTTCTCCCAGCCACCAGCAGGTCTGCGAGAGGAGCAGAGGCACAGAGTGAACTGGAGCATCAGCAAACTGCAGCTCAGTGGAAAATACCTTCCCCAATTGCTTGCCCGCTGCCTACAAGGTTGTGCTCAGCTTCTCCAACTCAAATCACGTCTGCACCTGAAAGCTCAAGCTCAGCCCCATCTCACCAGCTTGCTGCACAGGGCTGCTCTCCAGAGCTTGTTCTCCAAACGCTGCTGCCGTTTTCAGCATTTATTTTTTTTTGGGGGGGTGGTGGAGGGAGAGAAATGGGTCTCCCTGCCTGGGAACTCCCTGCTCCCAGCTCACCATGGGTTCTTACCTGATTTCCCCACACTGCCCGCTCCCATAATGAGGACGTTTGCTTCCATCTTCAGGGCGGGGGGGCCAGGCACCTCCATGAGGGCAGGGTGGTCGGGGGTGAAGCTGGCGCTGCGGCGCAGCGGGAGCCGGAGCCCCATGCCGAGCGTGGCGGCCGTGCCCC